TTTCCCAAATATATTTGCTTACATCATCATTACAATTTCCAACACACCTTTTTACCTTCCCAATTACCTTTTTATCTCACATACATCACATCACAAAAAGTGCTACAGTAAAAATATCTCAAATAACTTACAATCCAAACCTTAAAAATTTCTTCACTTTCATTGAGTAAAGAAATTGATGTTTTGTCGATTTTTTTTTTTTTTGACAAAAAAAAAAAAAGGAAGAGTAGGTAAAGACATTCATACCTACAAAACCTTACTGTTTTCTTAGAGTAACACCAGGAGTGAGTGATGATGGAAAAATACTTCTCCTATAACTACCTTTTAACAACTATTTTAGTAGCCATCAAATATGCTGTTTTACTTCTTTTCTCTTCTGTTTCATTTTGCCTTGTTTCAAACATGAACAAAGATGTAGCATATTTTCCCTAATAACACAGCCAATATCCTTAATTCGTCCAGATGAACAATTTGATCAGTCTGAAATTCTCTATATTTGTCAGAGAAATTTTAGTTAGTTTTTTCTCTATATGGGGGGAAAAAAAACTGGCTAAAATTTACTAATATGTTAGTTTTTTCTCTTACTAATCTTTTTTCCTTTCTGGGATCAATACTAACTGCATTACCTAATAAATATTGAGGTTAAAGCAAGTTGGACAAAAGAATTTTCTAATATCGATCTGCAATTGATTACAGAAACATATAATTTTCGTATATTGGCTGCTGCTTCATGACTTAATAGAAGGGAATCAAAGGCCGGCAACTGACTCTTCTGCGTATATGTGTATGTATCTTGACTTGATCTTTTTACAGTCTTCATCATGCATGGAAAAATCAACCCTTAAGCACTTATTAATGCCCCAAAAAAAAAGATGCGATTTCACTTGTGGTCGCATCTTTTTTTATATCCATCTTCCCAAGAAAACCGAAATGAAGAGAAAAATTTATATAGCCTGATTGGATTGTTATTTTTTAAATTTTTTTTTGTAGAAAATTATACTATACCGATGTGATGTAAAAAAGTGATTAAAAATTTTGTTTACGAGCAGAGTAAATTTTATATATATATATATTATCACGGTTGGATGCACGATACATATGCAAAATTTGATTTTTAAATTCAAATTCAAATTATGAGTCACGTAATCAATGATGAAAATATATACACTGTCAGGTATAGAAGATTACTTAACGTAAAAATTTTTAAAAAATAAATGACAATCCGAATAAAGCTGCGTGGCTAGGCTCTCAGAAAAGAGGACAAAAGAAAATTGCTACGTGGCTGCATCAACCAAGTAGGCCAAATCAAGACGCGCTCCTTCACGTGCCAAGCACACAACGATTTATTGACCAGTAGAGCAATGGTTGATAATTGGTGGTCAGCAACAAGAGATGTTTAGACAAAATCATCAAATTGGAAAAACATCAAAAGCCGACACAAATTTTCTGATGGACGTTTTTTTTTTTTTTTTGTCATTTAAAATAACGATTTTTTTTTTTTTTAAAACCAAGCCCTCTCAAAATTGTTGAAGTTTCATCCTCCAAACAAGTAAGCAAGTTAAATTACGCAGCGAAATTTTTATTTGCATAGACTCCGTTGTTGAATAACGAGAAAATGCACATATGTGTGATATATTGATGAGCTTTATCCTTATATCATAGGTATATATATACTAGGCATCGTGCCCTGCGAGTTTCGTGTGTGCCCATTATTGATTGTTTAAGAGTAATGTAAGATTTATTTAATAATTAATGTTTAGAGTGTTTTATATGATAGTAGGGTTGGAATAATAAATAGAGGAACAATATATTGGATTAATATATTTATAAATATATATAGTAATATTGTTGCGATTTGTATTTAATTTTTTAAGAGTAATGGGATGTAAATATTATTTAAATTAATGGAATGTAAATCATTTTTTAAGAGTTGAGATAAATTAATAATTCGAAATAATTTCGATATGTTTATTTTTATATTGTTAAATATAAGTGGAAGTAGAATAAAGAAAATTTAGGGAACAGATAATTGCTATGTGCAAGAAGATGTAGTGGACACGTTTAATTATGATTGTTGGATAAAGTCTCTGCTGAAAAGCAGCAGATGATAGTTGTTTTCATTGAGCAGAGTGAACAGGATGACATTTCCTTCATGTAAGAAGTGTTTTTGTGTGTATATTGGCCAACCTTCTATTATTTCTATTCCTCATAGCTGAAAGATCCATCGAGTTTTAGCATGATAGTAATTGATGACTCCTATGTTGTTTGTTTGTACTTTGTATATGCGAGGGTATATCACTAATGAGTATCTGAGATAGAAAATAGGGAAAAAACGTATTTGTATTATGAAATGAGAGTAGCAATGTAGTGTATGAATTATATTGCTTGGAATGTAATTTATATGAAACTCACCAAAGATTCAAGATCGTGTGTTAGATAGTGGAAAAATTTAGTATTAGAAAAACTAAAAGAAAAGAAATATAGTGAAGAATATAAATTCATAAATATAATATATACAAATTAAGGATTTTTAACAATTTGAAATTATAAATTTAGAATCATATATTTGTATTTATTGATTGAATAATTGTTTTTTGAATCAATAAATATTGGATTGATTTATTTTTAAGTTTATATATATTAGATACATGCCAAATACAAATGATTTTCATTCATTTGTATTAATACGAAATAGTATAATCAATTTATATATATTGACTGGATACACATAGAAATTGTATTCATTTGCATATATTAGATGCACGTAGGATTTTTAGCAATTTGCATATTTTTTTCATATTTAGTATTTTTGCTAATATATTCATTTTGGAGAAAATTAATTAAGTTTATATATATTAGATACATGTTAAGTACATATGATTTTCATTGATTTGTATTTATACGAAATAGCATAATTGATTTATATATACTGATTGGATACACATAGAATTTTTATTCATCTGCATATATTAGATGTACGTAGGATTTTTAGGAATTTGCATATTTTTTCATATTTAATATTTTTGCTAATATATATTTTGGAGAAAATTAATAAATAAGCGAATAAATATAAAAAGAAGGCTATTTTATGTATTAGATGTGCATAGCATTTTTAGTGATTTGGGTATTTTTTTTAATAGTTAATATTTTTTTCAATATACACACTTTCGACAAAATTAATAAATAAGCGAGTTAATAAATAAGCGGATAAATATAAAGAAGGAGGAAAAATTATACATATAGAAATAGTCTCGAAATTATAATTATTTAATATAAATAACACTTATTATACGTTAATACAAGGTAGTATTATTAATTTATATATATTAGATATACGTTAAACATATATAATTTTCATTGATCTGCATTAATACAAAACAGCATAATCAATTTATATATATTGATTAGATACATATAGAATTTTTATTCGTTAGTATGTATTAGATATACATAGGATTTTTAGTGACCTGCGTAATTTTTTGATATTTAATATTTTTTGATAAAATTAATAAATAAGTGAGTTAATAAATAAGCGGATAAATATAAAGAATGACTGAAAATTATAAACATAAAAATAGTGTCGAAATTATAATTATTTCACATAAATAACACTTATTATATGTTAACACAAAGTAGTATTATTAATTTATATATATTAGATGCATGCTAAACATATATGATTTTCATTGATCTGCATTAATACAAAACACCATAATCAATTTATATATATTGATTAGATACATATAGAATTTTTATTCGTTTGTATGTATTAGATGTACATAGAATTTTTAGCAACTTGCATATTTTTTTGATATTTAATATGTTTGTGTATATAGCAACCTGCATATTTTTTTGATATTTAATATGTTTGTTAATATACACGTTTTTAGAGAAAGTTAATAAGTAAGCGAATAAATATAAAAAAGTGGTAAAATTGTAAACATAAAAATACATTGGTCAATATACACGGCTTGAAGATAGCAAAGCGATGGGAGGAAAAGATTGAAGAAACAAAAGGACAAAATTGATTGGCAAATTACAAACGAACCAAGAGAAAGGGTACAATGGGAACAAAGCAACAAAAAAAGAAATGAGGACAAGCGGAACAGGAAGGAAAGCCGCTGCACGGAGCCTGTGAAAAGACCAAAAAGGACGAAATCAGCTGCGAAATCACAGCGAAACCGGGACAATTGACTGTAGCTGTAGTTTAGGATTTATGTAGTTTAGGATAGGATATATATATATATATTTTACCCTCTTATCCTTCTTTGTACCTTTCCGATTTACTAGTACCGATTTACTTTCAAACTTTTGTTTTTAGCCAATTAAAACATGAACTTATTTTGCAGTTTTAATTGAGAACTTCCGTGATGAAACCATCGCTTAAACCCGATTTGACTCTTAGTTGATTAATTAAACAGAGGTATTTTGAAAAATGTTACTCACCAAATCAAGTAAATTGTGTAAAAAATCACAAAATTTATCTGGTATTTTTCAAAGAATTAGCCAATTAATATGTTTGGATAGCAAATTATTTTCACAAATTTATCTACTTTAATCATAAACACATTTTTAACCACTTTTTTATCTTACATATATCATATCAAATAGTGTTACATTAATTTTTTTAAAAAAAATATCTCAAATAATCTCCCATCCAAACATGCTAATATTTTGACCAAAAAAAAAAGAAAAGAAAAAAAGGATTAAAAAGTGATGCTCAAAAACTGTTCTGAAGAAAAAAAAAAATTTACCGTTCTTCCCGTTATATTTGCCCTTTACCTCTTATTCAAGCATCAAATTCAAAGTGCCATTTTCATCGATGCGGTAAAAAAGATCTCTACCAAATCTGCTCGGAGGAATTCATCCCATTCCTCCGAGCACCACATCTTTTTGCCCAGACTCGCAGTAAAAACAAAAACAGTCGACAATGTGCTCCCGCCCCCATCAATCATTGTCTGAACACACACACACACACACACACACACACACACACACACACAGTTCTACTCCTCTCTCTTTCCCACCTTCTCTACAAAATTAAATGATAATATGACAAAATAAATAGTATATATTCACTGGCACCGCTCCTCCTCAAGAATAAATTAAAACCAGAATATATTTTTTTAATTATTCCTTCGTTTTTCTTCCCCCTACATTTTGTTCCTTGAGGAGGAGGTCCACGTTCTTTCTAGTCTTTTGCCGTGTTCTGAAGCTGAAACTTTCTCTGCAATAACCTGTTTTGAATTTTCATCACTTTTCCTGTTAGGATTTCAGTAATAAATCAGCTCTAAAATTCTAGGGAGTATATATACTTGTATACATACACGTTACGTGTAAGTTTCGTATATATACTTTTCCCTTCTCCCCCAATCTCCGCCGCACCGACTAAATTCAGCTCTTCATCAGCTGTAGCAGCAGCAACAGTGGCGTGCACGACGACGCCGTTTCGGTCACCGATCTCGTCGTCCTCCGAGAAATGGCCAAGCGCGGATATAAATTGCGTATCCTTTTTTGTTTTTTGGCTTATATATTTTCGAGCGTGGATGACGTCTACTTTTAGCTTTATTCCTAAATTCGCTGTGTTTTTAGGGTTTTTTTAGTTCCTTTTTAATCTCAAGTAAGTTAATAGTAAAGTTCACCAATTTTGTTTAATGCTGTGTGCTACATTTTCTTTATTAGCTACGATTTTTTTTTTTTTCAGTTTAATCGCTCTTTTTTTTGAAAAATTTTCTTTTCTAGAATTAGAAGTTAGCTATAGCAGATTAATTTTTAATGAGAATACATGACTCTAAGTTAAGCCAGAGATCTTTTGGATTTTATTTTATTTTATTTGGTAAGTTGTATGTTCTTGACTAAAATGATTAAAAAGAGGAGTTTGTGGCGCATTCGGGGAATGTAAATTGTTTAAGGATTGGGAAGAAGAACTTTCGGCAATTTATAACAGGTGGAGATGATCAAGTGGTCAATCTTTGGTCAATTGGCAATCCTGCACCTTTATCGGTTAGTTCAAGACTCGCTTTTTACAAAGTGTACTTGCAGTTTCTTTAGAATGAGACCTGAACAGCTAATAGGGATTGTATCATGTTGCGAATATGAAACAAAAATGAGCTCTGAAAAGATAAGTTTCTTCCAAGTTCATGTCTTGAATACCTATTGACTGATATTGGAGCCGAATCAGGCCCCCTTTTCAACCTTTTTCTGTGGAAAAAGGCGCTTATGCCGATGTTTTTGTATAACTTTTGGTGCGTTATTAAGTTGAAAGGTCATTTATATTTGTCACTACGTGTACTATATGTAGTTGTAGTTTTCAGATTCTTATAGTCACGTACAGAACATACTCATTTGCAATCATTTTATGACTCTTGCTTGTGATATCTTGTGTCATGTGATCTATTTATGCTTCATACTGGGTGTCACATACTATGATTCAGCAGTAAGAAAATTTGTAGTCTTTTACTTAGTTCATAGGATGTCTGACATGAGGTTGGAATAAAATCAGATATGCATGCGTCTTTCTGTTTCAGAAGAAGGAGATGTTGTTGGTCTGTAGTACTTTACTCAAGCGGTAACTTCAAGTGCTAGCTGCTTTGGAATTGTTGGTGATGTGTGCGCTATGTGCTTTGTGTTCTGTAATCATTGAATTGGCAAATGAAAATTAACATTGCCCGCTGGAGTTGCTCTATGCATGATCATCTTCTTTGCATTGTCTACTAGGAATATTCCTCTCAGGCTTAATTAATGCTCTATGTCTATGTTGCTTCATTTCGCCTAATATTATCACATGATGCAGCTTTTTCAGTATTCCTTTCTGTTTGTTGTTTTTAGAAGTATTCAACTTATAGCGTTATGTGAAAAGATGGGTGGATTAGTCTAGTTTGGATTCCGCCTGTTGAATGTAGTCATTGTATAGTTTCTTTATCTCTTAAATTATTGTGTACAATTAGTTGAAGTTATACTCTTCCTAAACCATGCAGTGTCTTTCTGGTCACTCAAGTCCAGTTGAATCTGTAGCTTTTGATTCTTCGGAGATCTTGGTGGTTGCCGGAGCATCATCTGGTGTAATTAAATTGTGGGACCTTGAAGAAACAAAGAGTATGTTGATTACCTTTTCTAGCTTGCTTTTTACCCTAAGTTTGCATCTGTTGAGTAATTAGTGGATTGGCTAGTTATTTTCTGTGCTAGTGGACTCAACTTGGTTCTTGTATTTGAGCTAGCAAAGATGGAATTTTTAACCTTGTGACCTAATCTAGATTTAGTAGTATTTCATTAACTCCTTCAGATCGTGTTTTATGAAGTGGTTTGTTGATCTAGGAATCCTATTTATTGCTGTCATAATACTCAAGAGACCTAATTAATGATGCTTTTCAAATTGAACTTCAAATACTTATGGTTACCATTAGTAATTGTTTGACTAAAAATATCATCCTCGTCATTGAAGATGGTGTTTCCCATTTCTTGCTGTTGCAATACTCAAGAAACCTAATTAATGATGTTTTCAGAATTGAACTTCAAACATGTAAACCCAGCACCATTTATTGTCAACTAAAAAAATGACAAACAGGCTACTGATTTACATGTCTGGAGAGAAAACAAGCCACTTGCTTGACATGAAAGCCTTGGCACATCACCCTAAAAATACTTGATGTCTGATTGTAATGTCTCCTGCCATCCATATTGCATTTTATGCTTTTTTCCAGATTGTTCCCATATGCCTTGTAGCATCTGGTATTGCGCTCCATAAGTGTTCAAGAAGGATTTTGTGTTGCTATAGCCAGAAATGAATGCATGGATACACAACCGGCTCATTTTTCTGGAAATGTACTTATCAGAAAGACCGGCAGCTACCAATCTAGTGGACTCTGAAGTGCAGTCATGCTGGTCTTTAGCCGAAACAATATGGGCAATAACCAGCATGCTGCCTTGAGATCTGCTGATAAATTTCTGTGACCATAAAGATGGGCATCTGTTCCATTTTGGTGTGGTAGAGTAACTAGTGACGCATAGAAAGCAGTTGTAATAAGTTGTTTGCAGCTTCATAGTTTTAGATATTTAATTATTTTGCTAGAACTATTATCCTGTTGTCGGTCTTGCTTATTTTAAGTGTCTTAAATATATGTAGCTTGGTCTCTAATTTAGTTACTAATATTCTTGAAGTGTAGTGGTTCGCACTCTTTCTGGACACAGATCCTATTGCACTGCTGTGGAATTCCATCCATTTGGTGAATTTTTTGCATCGGGTTCCATGGACACTAATCTAAAGATATGGGATATCAGAAAGAAAGGATGCATTCATACATATAAGGGTCATACTCGAGGAATTAGCACTATAAGGTTTACTCCTGATGGCCGATGGGTGGTTTCTGGTGGATTTGATAATGTTGTAAAGGTATGACTAAAGCTTTTTTACAGGTTGTATCTGCTGTCTTTATCTTTTGCTTGGTCATGAATTCTTTACTTTCGGTCAGATATGGGACCTGACAGCTGGAAAACTCTTGCATGATTTCAAGTTTCATGAGGGACATATCCGATCAATAGACTTCCATCCACTTGAATTTCTTCTGGCTACAGGTGAACATGTACAGCATGCATGTCTTGGAAGAAATTGTTCTTCTATGTTTTGTCTAAAAGTTTCCTAAGTTATATCTATATTTCTATGAGGACATATATCTTGCAATCATTTGAGGCAGGTAGACCATCGTCTTACTTGTCAGCCCTTTATTTGCTTTATATGGATTTTGCAATTTATCCTATTTGTGATAAGTTTGGGCCTTGATTGAATTGAATTGCCTTTTTTTTTGGCCATTATTTGCATAGTATTGTTTAACTAGTAGTATAATATATTCAGGCTCAGCGGATCGAACTGTTAAGTTTTGGGATTTGGAAACTTTTGAAATGATTGGGTCTGCCAGGCGTGAGGTAAGCTTGCATTTTTGCAGTGACAGATATTCTTGCCTCACTTATTTAGCACCTTGTTATTTTTCCATGTTTTTCTGTCTGGTGTCCTTGGAACTATTATCATTTATGATACTATAGGACTGAAAACTTTAATTTATCTAAGAAGAAAACAAGAGAGGAACATGAGAGGGTTTATTTACTCATAAAAATGCTGAATAATATGTTAGAACTATTGTTACTTGTCTCCTTGGGTTCCTCTATTTTTGGCTACCCTTAGCTTTTTCTCTCAGTTTCCTGCAGCACTTAAAGCAGAAATTGCTTCAAGAACCAGGTCTAAGGCCTCTGATCATCTGCTTCTTGACTTCATATCTCAGTTTCTGGAATAATTAATGATTTGGCAGCAGAATAGGAGAGTACTTTATGAAGAGTATTATGCTTCGGTTGACATTTTATGATAGTCAACCAAATTAAATGATTGCTGACACCCTTGGATTTATAGAAAGGCAGATGCTTATATGACTCATAATGGGTGTGTACATGTTCATTCTAAATATCTGTAGTGACCAGAGGTTCTCAGCCATAGTTCTGGCTGTTATATCCCTTTCCTCATGAAGTTCTGGTTGGCACTTTATTTTTGTTTCTGTTGTACATGTAAATTGGTAATGACTTGATGAACAGGCTCATCTTTTGGTGCTTTGTTTCTGTTAGGAGAATATTAGTATTCTTGTAGATAATATATTAGTAAGGGTATTCTTGTAAACAGTCCGTTAGGTTTGTACTCCTATAAATATTAGTTGGTCACTCATAATACGGTGACTAGATGTTTTCCTCCCAAGATACCTCTTTACATGGTATCAGAGCAAGAGTCCTAGGGTTTAGGTTAAACATCTAGCAAAGTACTGTTCACGCGGCACTGTTCACGGGGCACTGTTCACGGGGCACTGTTCACGCGTACTGTTCACGCGTCTCGAGTTTTGACCCTTTCTTGGGTTTGAAGTGCTATTCGCTATGGCTGAAAGTTTATCAAAAAGTATTGTGACGTCCACTAATATTATGCCAATGGTGATGCCTCAAATCACAAATTGGAAGTTGAATGATACCAATTATCAACAGTGGTCAAAAGCTGTTAAGATTTATCTGACAGGCTTAGGAAAGCAACGTTATCTCACAGATGACTCTCCTACGGAGGATAGCAAGAAACTAATGTGGATTCAAGAGGATGCCCAAATTCTTGGAGCAATATGGAATTCTATGGAGCCACGAATTGCTTACATGTGTTCTCATTGTGAGACAACAAAAGAAGTTTGGGATTATGTCCGGTTATTATATTGCAGTAATCTCTCACGGATGTTTGATATTTCTTTGGAGTATTTTCAGTTGCAACAAGATAACAAGACAGTAACTGAATACTTTGCTGATCTTAAGCGAGTCTCAGAGGAATTAAATGCTGTAATGCCTCTCTCAAGTGATATCAAGGTTATGCAGAGGCAAAGAGAACAAATGCTTGTGCTCAAATTCCTGGCTGGTCTCAAGCCGGAATTTGAACCAATCAAATCTCAAATTTTAGCAGGTGAACAATTACCATCCTTTGCAGAGGCGTATGCTCGGGTCTTACGTTCTGCATCTAAGGACAATGCACAGGGTGATGGTGCTTTAATTAATGACAAATCTGCTTTAATTGCTAACAATAATCGGACAGAGCAACTTAATTTTGGACGTGGCTCTCGTGGAGGAAGAAGTAGAGGTCGTGGGGGTCGTGGAGGTCGAGGCACCCGTGAGTGCAATCATTGTGGTTTAAAGAATCACACTCGTGATACTTGTTGGGATTTAAATGGAAAACCACCTCGGTTTGTTAATACGGTTACCACTGATCAAACTGAATCAAGTTCTTTAGCACAAGGGTCTCAGAAGACTGTTACCATATCTGAGGAAGATTATATCAAATTTCTGCAGTACCAAACTGCAAATCACGCATCTCTTCCCTCTACTTCTGTAGCACAAAAAGGTAATGCTATGGCTTGTCTCTCCACATCATCTAATTTTGACTCATGGATCATTGATTCCGGAGCTACTGATCATATGTCAGGTACCTCTAGAAATTTTTCTAATTTTCAAGAGTCTACTTCCTTCCCTCATGTTACTTTAGCTGATGGATCTACAACTAAAGTTAAAGGACTAGGCACTGTAGAAATTAACTCATCTCTTCCGCTGCCTTCTGTTCTTTACGTTCCCAGTTTGCCTTTTAATCTAATGTCCGTTAGTAAGCTTACTAAATCTCTACAGTGTTCAGTTATTTTTTCTCCTGATTTTGTTGTCATTCAGGATTTGAAGACAAAGAGGACGATTGGTGGAGGACATGAGCATAATGGTCTTTACTTTCTCAACTCTAATGGTCCGATTGCGTGCCCTGCTACTGTTTCTCCTCTTGAAATTCACTGTCGTTTGGGTCATCCGTCTCTACAAAATTTGAAGAAGTTGGTCCCTACCTTGAGTCAGTTGTCTTCATTAGAATGTGAGTCTTGTCAATTAGGAAAGCATCATCGTGTTTCTTTTGTCCCTAGGGTCAATAAACGGGTTTCGGAACCCTTTTTGTTAGTTCATTCTGATGTTTGGGGTCCTAGTCGAGTAACTTCAAAGTTAGGTTTTAAATATTTTGTAATCTTTGTTGATGATTTTTCCAGAGTTACATGGCTTTATTTAATGAAAGATCGTTCAGAATTATATTCCATTTTTTGTGCATTTGTTACAGAAATAAAGACTCAATTTGGTGTGCCTGTACGTATACTTCGCAGTGATAATGCGAAAGAATATTTTTCCACTCCTTTTGATACCTTTATGACTAAGTCCGGTATTCTTCATCAGTCCTCTTGTCCTCACACTCCACAACAGAATGGAGTTGCTGAAAGAAAAATTGGACATTTAATCGAAGTTGCTCGGACACTTTTGTTGCACATGAATGTACCCAAACAATTTTGGAGTGATGCAGTTTTAACTGCATGTTATTTAATTAATCGCATGCCATCCGATATTCTTGGAGGCCAACTACCTCACTCCATTCTTTTTCCTCAGGACCCTATATTTAAATTACCTCCTCGTATTTTTGGTTGTGTGTGTTTTGTTCATCAGCTTGCTCCCGGGGTGGATAAATTAGATTCTCGTGCCATTAAGTGTATTTTCTTAGGATACGCACGAGCGCAAAAGGGGTATAGATGTTACAGTCCAGTTTTAAATCGTTTTTTCACTTGTGCTGATGTTACTTTCTTTGAATCCACTCCTTATTTTATGAAGCAAGGTATGTCTTGTGAGTTAGACCAGTGTTCCTCTTTTTCTCCTCCTGTTTTACCAGTCCCTTCATCTTTATTACCTGAGTTATCGGGTTCACCAGATTCCACCACTCGATTATCTCATCCTAATCTTCAAGTTTATTCTCGTCGTTCCATGGTTGAGAAAGCTCCTGATATGCTACGCACTTCACCAATTAACTCTCAATCTTCAGATCCAGGTATGACGCCCTCTTGTGAGTCAGATCTTCCTATTGCTTTACGTAAAGGTAAGAGACATTGTACTTCTCATCCTATTTCTAATTTTGTCTCTTATTCTCGTCTCTCTCTGTCATATTCTTCTTTTGTTGCATCTCTTGATTCGGTATCCATTCCTAAGTCTATTACCCATGCTCTCAATGATCCTGGTTGGAGGTTAGCTATGCAGGAAGAGATGCTTGCTTTGGAGAAAAATGGTACTTGGGATCTTGTCCCTCGTCCTTCAGGTAAGCCTGTTGTTGGTTGTAAATGGGTGTACACTATAAAGGTGCAGCCTAATGGTTCTATTGATAGATTGAAGGCTCGTCTGGTAGCTCGAGGATTTACTCAGGTGTATGGAGTAGACTACTTAGAAACATTTTCTCCTGTTGCAAAGATTACCTCGGTTCGCCTTCTTATCTCTTTGGCAGCAACTTACAATTGGCCATTGCATCAGTTGGATGTGAAAAATGCATTTCTGCATGGAGATTTGGAAGAAGAGGTATATATGGAACAACCTCCTGGATTTGTTGTTCAGGGGGAGAATTCGCAGTTGGTTTGTTGTTTGAAAAAATCCTTATATGGATTGAAACAGTCTCCAAGGGCTTGGTTTGGCCGGTTTAGTAGTGTGGTCATGGAGTTCGGTCTGACGAGATGTGGAGTAGACCACTCTGTATTTTATGGGCATTCTAATGCTGGTAAAATTTTATTAGTTGTTTATGTGGATGATATTGTGATTACAGGTGATGATGTTGTGGGGATCCAGAAACTTAAATCCAATCTGCAGGCAAACTTTCAGACAAAGGATTTAGGTCATTTACAGTATTTTCTGGGTATTGAGGTAGCTCGGTCTAAATATGGGATTTATTTATGTCAAAGGAAATATGTACTCGATATGTTGAGTGAAGTTGGGATGTTAGGTTGCCGACCTGTGGATACTCCTATGGATCCCAATGTGAAATTAGCAAGAGATCAAGGAGCATTACTTGATGATCCTAAGCAATATCGAAAACTTGTGGGTAAGTTAAATTATCTCACTGTAACGAGACCTGACATTTCATTTGCAGTGAGTGTTGTGAGTCAATTTCTTGATACTCCTCGTACTAGTCATTGGGATGCTGTTATACGAATTCTCAGGTATCTTAAGGGTGCTCCTGGAAAAGGGTTGCTATATCAAAATCATGGACACACTGATATTGAAGGATATAGTGATGCAGATTGGGCCGGTTCTGCCTCAGATCGAAGATCGACCACAGGATATTGTGTGTTTGTTGGTGGTAATTTAGTGTCGTGGAAGAGTAAGAAGCAAACAGTTGTCTCCAGATCAAGTGCAGAATCTGAATACCGTGCTATGGCTCACACTGTGTGTGAGTTGGTTTGGTTGAAAAGCATGTTAGTTGAAATTGGGTTTGAGTATAAACAGCCTATGAATTTAGTGTGTGATAATCAGGCGGCTGTCCATATTGCGTCTAATCCAGTGTTTCATGAAAGGACAAAACATATTGAAGTTGATTGTCATTTCATTCGAGAGAAATTACTTGATGGAATCATCAAGACATCTCATGTACCGTCTGCAGATCAATTGGCTGATTTGTTTACCAAGAGTTTAGGGGGCTCTAGGGTGAAATACCTTTGTAACAAGTTGGGTGCTTATGATATATATGCTCCAACTTGAGGGGGAGTGTTAGGAGAATATTAGTATTCTTGTAGATAATATATTAGTAAGGGTATTCTTGTAAACAGTCCGTTAGGTTTGTACTCCTATAAATATTAGTTGGTCACTCATAATACGGTGACTAGATGTTTTCCTCCCAAGATACCTCTTTACAGTTTCCTAAGATTTTGTCTTATTGAAGTGTTGGGTAGGGCCGCCAGTTTTTGTTCAGTGGTTAGATTTGGTGTGCTGAAGTAATTGAAAAACGTGCCACAAATTTACCAATCCTAACTGAAGTGATAAACTCCATGACCCTTTCTGAGAGTGCATGAAAGTGATCCTGTGTTGGGTATAATTGCAGTTAGATGTGAAATTGCTTGGGCAAGAGCAACACCATTACTAAATTGCCAACAAGAATTGGTCAATTTGATGGGATGGTTCTCATTGTACTCTTTAGGTCGAAAAAAGTGCATGATGTGTCTAAAATGCATCAACTTCTTAGAATTAATTGAACTTTTTAGGCACGCTGTTGTAATTATTGCCTACCATTTTTCTTTACTTGTAGTCCATTACATCTCTCTTCTCTTTTCTTTTTTCTTTTTCATGTTAGATGGTGTACATGCCTTTGATTTATGCTTGATGTCAATCGAAGTGGTACCCTTGAGACAGTACTTTTTCAATCAAAAAATAACAATTCTTTTGTCCCTCAGACTGCTGGAGTTCGATCCATAACGTTTCACCCTGATGGAAGAACGCTATTCTGTGGATTGGATGATAGTTTGAAGGTTTAGCTCTATCCTGTGGAATTTTCTAATATCTTTTACGGTTAGCAAAGAAATTTTTCTCATTTTTTTATTTTGGTTTGACAAGGTGTATTCATGGGAGCCAGTAATTTGTCATGACTCTGTTGATATGGGATGGTCAACACTAGGTGATATGTGCGTCCATGATGGTAAACTCTTGGGTGGTGCTTATTTTCAGAACTCTGTTGGAGTTTGGGTAGCTGATATTTCGGTAAATAATTTATTTCTTTCGTTCTAATCTATTCAACAAATTACTTTGTCTAATCATCTGCCATTCTATTTCAATGGTTGTTACTGATTTGCTACATCATGCTTTATGTTTTGGGTTATGTACCTGACATTTTTTTGGGATTAAATATTGTATATAGATGATCTTTAATGATACGGTAGTTTACTTTTCCTGTCAGCTTATTGAGCCATATGGTGGGGGTGCGATACCTGAGCATGGCCCTCCTGAGCAGAAATATGAAGTTCAAGAAAATCCTTCTGAGAAATCCATAAGCCATAGGAGGTCCAATTCAAGTTTCCGCAGCATGTCACCAGATATTGATTCTAAAGACATTAAGAATATCTATGTGGATAGTAAGTTGATCTCTCAGCAAACAATGGCTGACCATTTTGTGTTTGATCCATTTTCATGCTTAATAAATGAGTGATGTTTTTTTATCTGAAATTGCTAGTTCATATTCTTTGACCATGTTATGTTTGATTGGGTTTTTCTTTTGGCTGGAGTTTGGTGCTCAATTGCAAGCATGGAGATTATGCAGAACTTGGTTCTGTTGTTCATTATAGTTTGGCTTTGATGACTGTATTATTCTGTTGATAGTGCCAGTGAGAGTATGATTGCAATTATTTAGCTAAGAGGCTTAGCATCAAATTAGTTATTTTTCCCGTAAGCCTCCTTTTCTCCAAACTAAGACAAGGTTGTTTTCCTTTGTTAGTCAGTGGACGGACTATACTTACAGACATACATACATGTTCTACTCACACACGTGCAATAAATTTTTTTTCTTTTGCACTTTCTTCTTCTTGCTAATAACAAACATTTACTGCGTTTGAAGCTGAAGCTTGTAAGCCTGTTACTTCAACAAAAGTTGGGTCTATTAATTCTCCAAATTCTGTAGACCCTTGTGAACCAAAGGAGATTACGACTTTGGCAATTCAGAAGCAGGGCTCTGCGGTAAGGGTGCATGCAAAGACTAATGTGTCAGGGGATGCCAAATCCTTCATTGTGCCTACAGTGATACCTCGTGAATATCCTGGTGCAAAAGATAAGACTGGTTCTAGAAGGGAATCTTTTGCTAGCAGTAGGGCCATTACTGGTACACTTAAGCCTTCCCATATCCGAAGGTCATCAAATACAAAGTCTGATATGGAGAAAATCTCAAATGGATTGGAAACCAGGTCTCTTGGCAGTATGACGACTGCAGTGGAGACTAAAACGGAACCAAACTTCAACAGCAAGCTTGTTTGCAACAATAATGTGAAGGAATTCTCTGAGGGAGAAGATCTGAGCATCAAGAATGTTGGAGAGAAGCTAGAAAAAGCTACATCGCTGACAAGACTGTCAAATCAGGAAAATGGTGAAGTTCTTTTGTGTTCAATATAGTAAACTTTGTATCGTGTTACAGGATGTGTGCATAGTTATTTTAATAGTCTCTTCTGCTTTTGTGTTCATTATATTGTTCTAAAGGTTCTTACATTATTGCTTCAAAGACCCTGTATATAATACGTGGTTGTCTTTTGTGGAATTCAGTTAGTTTACATATATGTGGAAATAGATATGTATTCCTGAAGAAATAGTTCCTAGTAATGCCTCGCAAAAGCAAGATTAAGATCCTGTATTATGCTCTACTTTTCCTAGTACCCATTCTGGGGAAGTGCAAGCTTGGTTAGTGCTTACTTTTCCCACAAATTCTCTTTTTCCTATAATATTGTTGCCTGATTATTTGGTTTACAGATTTGCTTTTTCTTCATTTGCCTAGACTGTGTTTTGAAAGTCATGATGGAATATTGATGTTTAATAGGCTTTGGGATTCATTCCTGCCATTAACTCCATAAAACTGAGCAAAGAATGATGTTATGTTTAATTTTGGTGTCCCCCATCAGAGCTGCTTAGGATCAAACTCTGATAATGGTGATATATTTGATTATCATCCAACAATTCTTCTTTTGTCCCACTGACAGGAATGTAAAAATTACTCAGAATGATTGATTTCACATATTTCCTGTGTTTCAGGTGAAAAGCCCCAGGAGTGCAACAAAGGGGTTTTTCCTATTAGAGTTGTGAATGGAGGTTGTTATCTGATCCAGTTACATTATCACATTTTGAAAAGACTAGAGGCAAAATATTGATTTTTTTTGGTGCTTAACATGTGCAGTGGCAGTTGTGCGAGGTAGGACACGCAGTTTGGTTGAGAGATTTGAAAAAAGAGAGGGATTGAGTAGTAATGAAGCTCAAACGCCTGAGAAAGCTCCTAACTTTAGTAGCAAAGAAGCTCAAATGCCTGAGAATGCTCCTAACTTCAGTAGCAAAGAAGCTCAAATGCCTGACAGATGTCCTAGTTCAATAACTGAGGCAGCTAAAGCATCTTTGCAGGTGTGGTTGTGCTTATATATGGTAATTTTAAATAGTATTGAGCTGACAAAAGTCTTGTTGTGATGTTGATAGTTAGGAATCAAGCTTTACATGAAACTGACTGGATATTTTGAGGAAGTGTTATTTAAGGAGAAGTTGGATACAAAGAAAAGCTTGTGTGCATATTTTTGTTATTATCATGTGTCTACCCTTCAAATTCAGTGTAGCTAAGACTTGCATCGAATCCATGTGTCTTGAAAGTGTAGGTGTAATGAATGCTTGAAAACTTTAAGTATTGTTTGATACAGTACCGTTCAACTTGAAAAAGTAGCGTTTCTTGTGTCTGGATATTCCTTCAAACCTCGAACACGAATACGCTAATATAGAATTTGTTTTTAAACCTTTTTGCTTCAATTTTTTTTTATTTCATTTTTGCCTGGAGGTGGCACACAGGGTACAGGAGTATGTGGCTATAAGCTTTTAGAAGTACTCTGAAGTTGCTTTTGCATTACTATTGAATGTGGGCTAGCTCTTTCTTTTTTCTGATCTACCTAAACACAATTTTCGCCTGCAATACAGCTACAGCTACATTTACACCGCCACCAATTTTGGCATTCTAATAAGTGTGTCATGATTTCTTTCACCATGTTATGTTACTTTCTAAATACTTAAAATTGATTTGAGACAGTTGCATCTTTTGAGTGCCATAATTATATTTTAATGGCCTGTGATAAAATGGAATTGACACACTATTTGCGTTAAAATGAGAGCTAATGTTAGCCAAGGTCTGGACTATTTGTGTTAAAATGCAATTGACGAATCATGTTGCTGAAATCACAACTTCTAGACTTCTAGAACAGTGGTTTTGTCACCTCTCTCTCTCTCTCTCTCTCTCTCTCACACACACACACACAGAGGCATATCATGATGCTGACATGTCTCTCTTTCTGTGGGTTACATACGCACACACATCCTGGGGGTGACATTTCTCCTGTTCTATCAGATTCGTTTTTGGGTACTTCAGGCAGATTTTATTTTTGGCTGCTTTAGTTACTGGCTTGTTTAACCATTTATAGTTGAATTGCTATCTTGGTTGTTGGAAAAGTTGCAATTCTCAAGAATTATCTTCTACTGCATTCAAGTTGGCTTTTTATGAGCACTTGTGATCGTTTTATTGTGCTGTCTGCAGGATTATAATCCACCAAATGCTGGAAGGGAGCCAGATACAGATGATAATCATGTCATTGAAGCGCTGATGCAAAATCATGACGTGCTATTAAGCATTTTTCGGTCACGCCTGACAAAGTTACAAGTAAGTTATTTTGTAGACTTGCATGTGATGCTGCTGTAGTTTTTGGAGGTTTAGCTAGATTTATAGAATTCATTTTTTGTTCTCCTTGGCCATGTGTTGCATTGTATACACGAAGAGGACAAATGGTCTAAACTATATCCATATGGTAGGTAGATGTTGTATTAAGTGCTCCAGAACATGGAGTCAGCTTTATGTTTTTTGGTGAAGTTGAAGTGTTTTAGAATGCTGGTTTTTGGACATCTTTTGTCTTCCTTTTATTAGCTTCCAATCTGCATCTAGCATCATATTCTCTTGAAGTTGACAGTGACCTACGGTCTGTCTTCTTTGCAGGTGGTGCGGCATTTTTGGGAACGCAATGATGTTAAAGGTGCAATAAACGCTATGATGAAGTTGCCTGATCATTCTGTGAGTATCCTCCAGATAGATCATCTGTTTGGTGTTCTGCTTACTTTTCTCCTGTTTGTGCATCATATCCAGTATGTTGTGGCACAGGTACAAGCAGATGTAGTCAGTGTTCTAAAGGAGAAAATGGAGATTATTACCTTAGAGCTCTTCTCATGCTTACTACCTGTGCTTTTAAGCTTACTGGATAGCAAAATTGATAGGTAAGTCTAATGGCAAAATTTCGGCATAAAATGACTCTCTTGTTTCTGAGTCTGTTCTTACTCATTTATTCTCTTGTTCTTTAGAATTGCCTATCTAGTCAAAATCCATTTACATCTGCTTCTCAACAATTAAAAACTGGATAGTCTCATTAAAGTAGAAAGTCCAACTTCTTGCTATGCTTCTATTTTCCTTTTCTCTTGTTCATTTTTCTCCCTTGTAGTACGCTCTTCTTGGTTGAGTTAGCCCCTATACTATGTTTCTTAGAATGTCAAAACTTGGATGCCAATCTGTTTCCATTTAAGCTGGGTGAAGCCCTGTTTATATTTCTAAATTTTGGAGCTGGTCCACGATATAGCACTGCTTCTGCTGGCTAATGAGTGTCTTAGTACTCTTTGTTGACAATATTGCAGGTTGTTGGCAAAACAATGATCTGAGAATGGGATTCACTCAGATTTTCTTCTTTTAACTAGTTCCTAAGCTGTTAATATAAGAAATACCCAAGAAATAAGAGAGATTACATATAAGCGTTCTGGAAGGTGATAAATGAAAAGAAACTGATATTTCTACCGGAGAAAGTGATTGACACTAAAATATCTCGGAATAGTGAAGAGTGGTTTCCACAAATGGAATCTTTTATACATTAAGTAGGACAAGATGTAGAGGGAAGGATGTCTTTATTGGAGAATAAACTGCTGTCATTACAATTGTCCCTATTTTAGAGAAAGCTTGAATTTTGCTTCTTTTTGTTTTTTTAGTTATTGCTCTTGGAATTGGTGCATTAGACACTCTTACTAGTTAAAATCATCTCTAGACCCTTTGTTAGCTGGGTGAGTCATAGGTCCTTGTTACCTAATTTTGATAAATTTTGCAGCTGAGAATTTGAATATTCTTATTCACATGTAATTTCTACTAGGCATGCTAGTGTTTCTCTGGAGATGCTCTTGAAACTCATTGCCGTCTTCGGACCTTTAGTTCGTTCAACCGTTTCAGCACCTCGTGCTGTTGGGGTTGATCTTCATGCAGAAGAAAGGTATAATTCTCGACCCTATGCGTCAAATGGAGCTTCAGTTTGCAAGAAAAAACTGAGCATGATTACATGCATCTAATTTATGAATTGTATGATAACAGACGTGAAAGCTGCAAACAGTGTTTTGTCCATCTTCAGAATGTTCAGAAAATTCTTCCGTCACTGATTCAGTAAGTTTTATGTCTTTTTCTTTGTGTCTTTGTTGGAGTTACACGTTGTAATTCTGCCCTGTTTTATTGTTGTAATAAAATATGGCCAATGTTGCCTTAATGTTTGCCACATGACATTGTCAAGGATTGTGTCTCTCCTCCTTATCAAGTTTTAACTCTGTAAGGATTCCTTACACTAAATGTAGTTTATATTCCTCCTTTATCCTGTGGTGTCTCTGCTCTATCATCACATATATTATTGGTCCTAGCCATTAGCTCCTCATCTGTGTTCTTATCTGGATCTTGTTGTAGGAGGGGTGGTGTGGTGGCAAGATGTGCACATGAACTAAGCCTTGTTCTTCGAGAACCGTAATATACTTTTCTATGTGGTATTAACTTCAATGAAGAGGAAATGTACTGCTTTTTGCTTCCCCTTGGATAAAATTCTTTCAGACCGCCTCTTTTCACACGAGGGATGCATCACAATTTTGTCATGCTGATGTCTGTCTCTGGCTACCTTTTTTTGAGTCCTTTTGGTAGCTATGCATACAAGCTTGATGCTCCATGCGGTAAAGCTTGAGGAGGATTTTGTTCAGCTGCAGCCATTATCCCTGGTTCAAGGTGTTAGTCCCCAATATAAAGGTAGTAAATTTCTTTTAGTGATGCCTTGGAAGATGTTGCAGCTGTAGCATACATACATGTATACTTGTGGTCTTACTTAACCTGTAATTACAAGTCAATTTATGTAAATGCGCTTGTAATATTTAATGATATGTATACAGCCTCCATTTATCAATGAAATATATTTCCTATCTTGTAGTCTCGCGTGGAAGTGTGATTCTGACCGTCCCTCCCCTCCACATTAAAAGAAAGGACCGAAACAGCTACCTTACAAGTCCAGCTTGCTTTGACATTTCTCTTGTAATATTAGGCTAATCTGGTATCACCCACGGACAATTAAACAAGCCAATGTAATGGGCTTCAACTTTCACCTCTAATACAGTATGAAAGTCTCCAAGATTCGTACTTAGTGGAACCTGCTCTTTCAAAATTTCCGTCAATCTCAGACCAGTAGTGCGGAAGAGGTTGTACGGGATGGAGTTTCTTGTTTACTATTCATGGGAAGAAAAGCCCTTTCATCCATATCATTTAACAAGAGTCAATGGACAATGCGTTTGCTTTAGCAAAAAAATACAAACAAACATGTCATGCCTAGTTCAAACCAAAGCAGTAGGCGTCGACTTCTGACCCGAAATACTTGCATCAGGGATGAAAACTATTATGGTTTGAGGCTCAGGATGCGTTGCATGGAATACCAGGAAACTGAAGAATGTGTATCAGCTATTAAATGTTTTGTTCTGTCTCCGTTGAACAGTAGGGATCTTAAAGCTGGAAAAGATGATGGAGCTGGAAATCTGATGCGTCTAAGTGAAAACCTCTGCTGCTCGACAGGCCCTGAAACCACAACCACAGCCCTAACTCAAGCTACCACATCCCCTTGTAACTGATTCACAACATGCCCAGAAATTAACCCAAATAACCAGGAATTAAAATGTGAAAGGACAGACTAGACAAGTTTAAGATTCAATCCAACTACCAGCCTTCTGTTTCCTAGCACGCTTAACTCTTATCATCTTCTTCATCTGAGCTACGGTATTCCATACTTCATTTTCACCGTGCATCTTGGATAGCATTGCATACACAGCAGGATGGTCTTGCTCCAATTTATAAATTCTGCTGGCAGCAGACTCGCCAATTTCCAAACAAGAATGTAGGCCACAGGCCCCAAGCAATGCCCCCCATACAACCACATCAGGCTCAAAAGGCATTCCCCTAACAAATTCCTCTGCTTTCTTGAGCTGCCCAGCTTTTCCATACAAATCCACTATGCAAGCAAAATGCTGAATCCCTGGTTTTACACCATATTTTGAATTCATGGAGTTAAATATCCGTTCACCCTCTTCAACCATTCCTCCATGCCCACAAGCCGAAAGGACATTAATAAAAGTAATTTCATCAGGGTTGGTTGATTCCTTCACCATTCTCTCGAATTCTTGCAATGCTCTTTTCGCAAGACCGTGCCTTGCATATCCACCAATTATAGAATTCCAGGAGACCAGATTCTTTTCTGACATGGATTGAAATATATAATACGCTGCCTCAATATCCCCGCACTTCGCATACATGTCAAGAAGGGAAGTCGACAAGATGACATCAAGCACTGTACCAACCTTAAGGATACATGAGTGAACTTGATTGCCTATGAGGAGAGAAGAGCAGCCTGCACAGGCATCTAGCACGCATGAGAATGTGAAGTGATTAGGCCTGGGCCCCGAGTTTAGCATCAAGATAAACAATTCCAAAGCCTCCCAAAAATCTTCCCACTGTACATACCCTTTTATCATTGCAGTCCAACAAACAACATCATTCTCATTCATCGTATCCAAAACAGAGCGGGCTTCGCTTAGCATCTTATTCTTGACATACCCATTAATGAGAGTACTCCACGAGAAAGCATTCTTCTCGGGCATCAGATAAAATGCCCTCTTAGCTTCACTTGTTAGCCCAAATTCCATAAAACCAAGAATCAACACGTTCCAAGGCGCCACGTCTTTCACCAAAATCTCATCAAACACTCGACACAACCCTTCTCGATCGCCCAAATCTAGGTAACCTCTCATCAATGCTGATCCAAGAGAATCATTCAGATTCAATCCCGAAGAAAGCACTCGACAGTGAAGCTGAGGGGTCAAGAAACTGTAACCCGTGTTCAAGAATGCGCTAATCAAGACTGCAAAAGTAAGTTCATTGGGTTTGTCGCCGGCCCTAGTCATTTTCATGAAATACTGGTAAGATTTTTCTGGGTGGTTGGCCTGGCGGAAGCCAGAAAGCATGGTGTTCCATGAAACAACGTCCCTCTGGGGCATTTGGCCGAACAACTCTTCTGCACGTCGCCAACGGTTGTGCCTCGTGTATCCAGTAATTATTGAATTCCAGGAGACAATGTTTCTGGACTCAGGATTTTCATCGAAAACTTGGCGGGCAGCGTTTAAATTTCCGTTACGGAGGTAGCCGTTGATTGTATTATTCAAATTGAGTGTGGCACGAGTGGAGAAATGGTAGCGGGAAAGGGTACGAGCGAACATGGCATCCACAAAATCAGCTTAGGGTCCATAGAACTTTACAGAAAAGGTGAAATCGACATCGTCCTTCTCTTTTCAACAAACGTCCTTCTGCTCACCCGGATTTTGAACTTGCCTCGTTTCTCCAACTTAAAATATACCTGCAATTTGAAATTTTTTTTTTTTTTTTACTGTTCTAGAATGAGTTCATTTCAGTTAGTAACATACATATGTTTGAAATCGCATAAAATACAACCTTGTAAGAGATGAAAATAACCTATGAAACAAGCACATATAGCTAATATATTTGGATGTCACTTTATATAAAAGTCTTTTTTTCTGCTTGTTTTGGAAGCTGGAAGATACCTAAAAAAGGAACGGAATAAAGAGGCCAGCCAAAGGAAAAATGCATTTTCTTTAAGACATGACCGCCGCATAAAGGCCTCAAGAATACAGGCACGAGTATTATCCACCTCATTAAGTCGTCGTTAAAATTTACGTCTGGCTGGGGTTAAATAGGTGTTATTTTTAGTAACAATTAATGCATAGCCAGGATTTGTTAATTATATTCTTTTTTTAAATTTCTTATGATAATTTCTTTCGTACTTTAATTATGAAAATTTGTATTTCGTAGTCAGAAAGAAATTTAAACAATAATAAGAATAATAGCAAGAGGCAAGAGAAAAGGACAAGCGATCGTTGAGCAATATTTTAATTATATTTTTTGCTATCCAAATAAACATTAGATTACTACCATCAACGCAGTTAATATGCGAAAGATTCTTTTTTTTTTATTATTATTATTATACTATGAGAATTGAGTATATTATGACATATCAAGTCAATGACATAATAGTTGTATTAGGTCAAGGCTCGAAGATTCCATTCAACTATTAGTGTTCAAATCCTTAAAAATGGTGGTTTAGAGTGGTAAACAGAGTATTATTATTTAGGTGTAAGTCAAGGAATTTTGTATTCTAATATTCAGACTTTTCTGAAAATATTATTATTTTTAGTTGCAACTATCAAGGAAGGATTGTAAGTATTTGTAATTCGAGCTATCGAAGGTATTGGCTTATGGGGTGTTTTAACAAAATGAAAATGAAGTTAGAAACAAAGAACAAAATGTTCCACAGAGACTTTCGAGGAATATTAGCCAAATTAATAAAAATCTTGGGTCAATTCATTCATTGCAAATAAATTTTGAGATGCAAGTTCGATTTTTTTTTTTCTGGGGTCCTTCAAGAGTTTTAAAAGTTTTTTTTTTTTAAAAAAAAAAATTGACTATGAGAATTAATTGTAGGGCAGAAATTCCAACCGTCTTAATTAAAAATTGGGTTACTTGATTTTGAGATGTTGCTTTAGGTCCATGATAGTTTTATCACTTATTAATAGTTCACGAGTTTAAGTTAGAGCTGCTTTACTATCTCTGTTGTGACAATTAAGGTATGTTTACGCCATTCTTAGTTGTTTATTTGCTTTGGATGCTCCATCGCTTATGACTCATAAAGTTTAAGCAACGAAGTTTAGCGCTTTACTCATCTTTTGTGACAATTAAGTTTCTTTTTATCTCAGATGATAGCATTTCTTAGCAGAGAAGTAATTGATTGATAATTAGAAATATTTTTGGAGATGAATGACAATTTCAATATACTACACTTTCTATTTCACCGTTTTTTTTTTAAAATTTTTCATTGGATTTTTATTACTACAACATTTATTTCACGTTCATCTCTCGTCTGTTCTGATTTTTTGTTACAATTTTTACGTCTTAACGTCCCCTCCAAGAAAAGAGAAAGTGCTTTTGGATAGTGTTTTTATCTCAAATAATATTTCGCTTGCATCATAAACACATTTCTCAATACATCTTTTTATATTATAAATCACCTTTTTTATCTCACATACATCACATCATAAAAAGTACTATAATAATTATTCCAAATAATATTTCAAATAATACACTATCCAAACAAACCCTCAGTGTTAACTATACAGTCACTCCCAAAACAAAAAAAAAAACAAAAAAAAGACCGAAAAAATGGTAAATAATTTGCGTCCCTCCTCTTATCCTGAATGGACAAATATGTGTGCCACCCTCCTAGTCGGCAATCTTCTTCATTTGAACTGGGGATATGCATGTCATTAAAGATTATGAGGGGGGACAAATATGGTAAGAGAATCTACATGTAAAAGGCGCCATTATTGATTGATTATGCCTCCCTTCCCTCGTACTAGAAAAAGACAGAGAGAAAAAAGAGGGGGAAACGAAGAGAATTTCCAGGCTAACCCCAACTCAAAAAAATCACACACCACCACCCTCTTTTCACACACACACACACACCCGTCCAACATTTCCTTCATCCATTTCTTGCTTCTCTCGATGCCCATCTCCGCCGATCATTCATTTCGCTATAATAAGTACATCCTTTTCTCCTTCTAGAATTCGTCCACTCCTTTTCTCCCCATCATTTAAAAGTTTTAATTATTATTACTATATGCTATCTTCTCTCTTCTTTTCTTTTTTCTTTTTTTTTGGAAATTGAGAAAAAGAAAATTCTGGCCGGAAAACCACCTTCCATGACCAAAACAACCATTTCTCTTCTAAACCACCCTTAGCACGCTTCGCGGTCCTTTTTATATCCTCAAGTTTGTCGAGAACCAAACGCGCCCTTATCTATCTCCCTGGCTTTTGGCCTTTTAGCCTTTGTAGAATCCTGGAAATTTCGAGGTTGTTTTGTCTCCAGTCTCTGTCTTTTGGCTTTTTTCTTTCTTTTTTTTTTTTTTAACACCGGAGAGAGAAGGGTGATTACTAACGTGCGCCGGTGGTGCGCATGTTAAGAAGTTGAAATTCGAAAGCTTTTAAGATTTGAGAGTGTGTGTGTGTGAGAGAGAGAGAGAGAGGTGGTTGTATGTTTTGTTTTGCTTGGGCGGCTAACTTTTGATCGTGGTCGTACACGTGGAAGGAGGGAGATGGGAGCGGAGGCGATGGTGGTGGTCCCCGATAAGAGGTGGGGCACATGGGAGGAGCTTATCCTAGGAGGCGCTGTGTTGAGGCACGGTACCCAAGACTGGAACGTCGTCGCTTCCGAGCTTCGTGCCCGCACCCTCTACCCCTATTGCTTTACCCCTCAGGTCCTTTCATTTTCCCCCACACGTTATTCCTTTTTTAACTTTTTGGCTTCATTTTGATTTTAAGTTATTGAAATGTTAATGATGTTTTTTCTTGTAATCTGGTACAGTAAGTGCGTGTTAAGGAATTAATTATGATATTTACATTTAGTTAAGAAGTTGGTTGCTTGATAGATTTTGTAGGGCCATGTCTTAACATTTGATAATATGAAATTATTCACTTGGCTAATACTACTATAAAATTAATAGGTAAGAGGATAAACATAAGTCGTGATATGCCTTGGGGCTTAAGAAAAGGGGACAGAGATTAATTTATGCTTGCTTGTACCACGTGGACTGAGTCATTTATTGCATATTTCCTTTATAGCCCTCCTGATTTCTTCTTCTTCTTTTTTTTTCTTTTTTTTTTTCTGCCCTTTATGGAGTTTCAAATTTACTCTTAATTTGGTGGTGGTTATGTGAGAAATGGGGAGGCAACCCGTAGCTTCCCAAGTCATAAGTCATGAATGATTGGTCAATTTGGAGTCTTAGTTTTATGGAAAGGTCCAATTTGACTCTTGGGTGGTTAGGGAATGAGGATTAAGGAATAACTTATTGCGATTTAGAGTAATCATTAGCTACACATGGTCCAAAGTCTTCTTGGACCACACATAATTAAAGGTATTATATTATGTTGGGGATGGTATCAAATGTGAACCTTGTTTTGTGGCGTGGAATAATTAGTGGTACAAGAATTTGTTGAATAACAAAAATATTCCCCATTAACGTCACCGTTGGCTGTGGTTATGGCTTAAATTTTGTGCCCACCTTTGTAAAAAGTGATAATCATATAAATTGTTGTAAATTTTGTGATGAGACTTTTGTTTCGTTTTTGTTCCTTTGTAAATTGTTGACGTGGAATTTGTTTTCAAATTTGGATGTGATGTAGTAATCCATTTTGTTGGTGCATGATGTTATTTGAAGAAATTATGGGCCTGATCTTCATCTCGAGCTCGAAAACAAATTAATGAAGCCATTTATAGCAGAATTGTAGGAAGAAGTGATTGGATAGACTTAGGCTGGTAGACCAATGTCGTGAATGCTTGTGCCCTTCTCAAGAGTATCATCAATCGTGCACATGGTAGTATATCCACTTGTAGCCATTGGTTTCTCCAAACAAAGAATTGTTACTTTGAAGAAACTCACAATAACCAGGAAAAGTTTAAAGAGTTTTTGGCTTTTGCCCCATAACCACTCCTAGAATTAATTATCTCTTAATAATAATTAAACAAAGAATTTTATATGCTCTGATACCAAACACAGTTAGTTGCATTTATCATCCCCAATAGATATCAGTTTGATAACTAAAATAATTGTGTATTAGTGGAAGGTTGTTGGCTAAAACTCGTTAAATCTGTTGTTCTCATGGGTGTTACTTAGATGCAATGCATTATTTCTTTCAACCTCGTGTACATGTGTACAGTTTAGTATGATCAAGCTTATGGTCGATCTGACAAAAACTTCAATTTGAAATGCAGGCCTGCAAGGCCAAGTATGAGGACCTAAGAAGGCGTTATTCTGGTTCCAAGTAAGTGGGACTCATCTCTTTTGATTTATTGAATAATGGTGATTCAATTTATTGAATAATGGTAATTCAGTTGTCACACACAGATTATAATATATACATGTATATAATTTAATAAATTATATTTATATATTATAAATTTATTAATATTATATAATATATATTGATAATATATGTATATTTATAAATGTATATTATATATAATTATAATATATACATGTATATAATATTAATAAGTTATATAATTATAATTATTATTTTAAATATAATAATATATAATAATAACTATATTTAATATGTAATATTTATTATATTTATACGAAATATTAGTATAATTAATATTTGTTTATATTATATAATTATAATTATATATTTATATTATAACATTTATATATTTATATTTAATTATATATATAATATTTAATTTAATTAGTTACAAATTTATAATAATATTATTATTAGTTATATGTATTATATAATGTATATTAATTTATGTAATATAATTGATATTATCAATTATATTAATAATTATACATGTTCACTAATAGAAATCATTAATTAGTTATACTAAATTTACTAATACATTTATGTAAATATATTTAATCAGTGAAAATTTCTTATATCCTATTTACAAAGAGCCAATGACTATCATTTACGATGTGGTTTATAATATATTTATTATATTCCATTCCGAAAGAGTCGACATCAACTATAGTAATGATACACATTCCAGGTACTTGAACGAAACAG